GCTGCATCTTTAGCCCTAAAAGAGATATTTAGTTCATACTTTTAGTACTAAAAACAACCATTGTATTGAATAACATGAGTACAAGAAAGAAAATAGAAAAACTTCTCTAATTGGTGAACCAAAACTCCAAGAATTCTAATCTCCAAAGAGTGGCTAATCTTCTCTCTTTCCTATCTCTCTTAAAACTAACTAAAGACTTTTATTTATAGCACTAGGTTTTTTGGATCAAACAAGAAAAATTTTAATGCATTAAAACAAATAAAATTCAAACCAGGCTTTACATAGCCCATACAGACCTGATCCCCATCGTTGCGGCGATCATTCTTCCCATCCAACCAGTCCAAAATATTCAGAATTTGATAAGGTAATCCCGTGGAAGACAGGTGTTCGTGAGTCAGTAAGCCCAAGGCTCGCAACTCTGGAAGTGTCGTCGCTGAGGGATAGTTGATATCTGCCTTTTTCTTTCTCTTGTATATCTTTCATTCCAGAACCAACACAGACAAAAAAACTGTCATTATTCTTATAGGGACCGATCTACCAACTTTTGATGCAGACAAACTGGAAGAGTATGTTACAAGGATAAAACCATTCTAGAACAATCATTTCCTTTGCTTCATTCTTTGACTACTCTGCTCCCCCCCAAAAAAAGAGAGACTGACTCTGACTATCCCAATTCAGTAAGACAAAAATCGTAGGTTGGACCAAGAAAGACATGGGACTTTTGGGCATTGCTTGGGTCGAGTTCAGTAAAGACTGGCTACCTATAAAGATCCCTTACTACACACTATATACTATATATTCCTTACTTTACTGAAAGCATAGTAAGGAAGTAAACTTCGAAAAAGACTCGCAGAGAGAATCTTCCGAATCAGCTAACAGACCTACTATCTGATATATATGCTAGAGCAAAGGATGTCCTAGGTAAGCTACTGGCTTTGGATCTGCCTCTCGAGCACAGGGATCATATTCATCAAGCTATCGATCACGAGCAGAAGACTCTGTTGAATCACACTCATGAGAATCTGAGAATGGATCTGGCTAGGGATATGTATCTCTTGCTACACAAGAATCATCCCATTTCGAGTTCTATAGCTCAAGTTACTATCAAAACACTGAAGCATGTTCATCCTTGAAGAAATTCCAAGATTCGAATCTCATCTATAAAGCACCATAACTTTCTCGTTTCAACTCCCATTCTTGATCCTTTTGTTCCTAGCCATCACCTATTCAGTCGCCAACATTATGCTTCTTTCGAATATCTTTTATGATCTGAAAATACTCAAAATACACTTGTGATCCCATAAAAGGTATTTATGAAATAATTAACTCAAATTTCATAATTTAAACTAATTTTCCCACAAATAATCTAAATAAATCACTAACTAGACACATATTTTCAAACTCTTATCATTTACTAGAGACAATAATGTCATTTTTGAATTGTTTGCTAATTACTATGTGGTTAAGGACAAGTATTCCAAAACAAATTTTCTTTAAGGAGAGTAGTTGGCTTGTGTCAACTTCAAGTTCTACCAACATCATCTTATTCAACCACAAATGCATCTGTCAGCTCACTCAGTCCTTCTTCCAATTAACTTATATGTTTTCACATGCTAGTTCATCAAATAACTGTCTTGCCTACACCTTCAACTTTATGTAAAGACACAAATGAATCTGAATATCTTAATACTATGCTGCACTATACTAGTGATATCGATGATCAGTTGCCTGTTTTTGTATCTACTTGTACTGATGTTCCTATTACCAATAAAAATAGTGATTTTCAGTCATTTCCTACTATGAAAACTGATACTATGACATGGCATAAAAGATTAGGTCATCCAAATGCAACTGTTCTTACAAATATTTTGAATTTTGTAAATATCTTTCACTCTGTTTAAAATAACCTTACTTTTGTAAGGAATTATTCAATGAAATCATAGCGGAATACAATTTAAAGTTTTAATAATTTCTTTAAATCCCATGATCGAGGTAACAATTATATTTTGTTTATATGTAAATAAAAAAACCCATACAAGGTTTTAGGAGAATTTACCAACATTGACTACTCCTTCTCTTTTGATTCATTCACTTCTCAACTCAAGAATAGAGTTGCACGAATGATATNCTCCAAAGCTCACACGGTGTGCCTTCCCATATATGCTGTCTTCACAGAAATAAAGAGATGACACCTTCTTACCATCAATGTACCCTTTTTTCACCAGCAGTTCTAGCCCTTTTTGACTCATGTGGCCTAACCTGCTGTGCCACAGTGAAGTTTCATCCTTCTTGTCCTCAGTTATGAGAGCTTCTGTCTCAACAACTTTGCCTTGTAGGAAGTATAGACTGTCGTACTGTGAACAACTCTGCAACCCTTTAGCACTTTCAAGATTCAATTTTCACCTCTATATGCACAACCCTGTGAATCCAGTGTTCCTAGTGAGATAAGGTTTCTCTTTAAATCTGGTACATACCTCACTTGTGTCAGAATCACCACTGTTCCATCCTCATTTAGGATCTTTATACTTCCTATTCCTTTCACTGATGATGTTGTGTCATTTCCCATCTTGATTATCCCTGTGATCTCTTCATTCAATTCATCAAACCACTCTTTCTTGGGTGTCATGTGGTAAGAACAACCTGTGTCCATGATCCACTCTTGTTCAACCAGATCAGTAATATTCAAGGCTTCAGCTGCATATAGGACATCCACACGCTTGACCTCTGTTCCTTTTACCATAGCAGACTCTCCTCTTACTGTGTTCTGGTCTTTTGTCTTATCATGATAAGCCTTTCTACTGGGACAATTCTTCTTAAAATGTCCTTCTTCCCCGCATGAACAGCATCCCTTCTTTCCCTTTGACTTTGATCTATTTCTGTTCTTGTTTTTGTTTGAACCTTGATCTCGGCATATGAGATTGATTTCATCGAAGTTGAGTAAGAGTCACTCCGTACCTCGGCGAGCTACACACAAATCTTTCTTTTCATTTTATATAGATGCAAAAGTTAGCAATCCAATTTTCCTTCGTAAGAGCACATCAGAAATCCAAAACTTTCTCTTTATATAGCGAGGATTTGATGAAACCCTATTTTAGCTCTACGGAGCACATCAGGAATCCAAAACTTTCTCTTTATATAGATGGAAAAGTAAGAAAAAAGGAAAAAAGAGAAGAGTTTGAAACAAAACTAAGGGAAGTAGCTACGATCGCTCGCAGGCCGTTGCTCGCTCCCTCCAAGTGTTGAACAGAGATAGCTACGATAGAACACAGCTAACAACCCATGACAGAATAATATGTATATAAGAAGACGGCTGCTTAGAGGAGTGATCTGTTCATCTAACTCAAAATATTGTAATGTAAGAAGAAGAAGAATCTTACGCCCAAAATTCCCATCTCTTTTTTCTTGGTTGGACCAACCGGCACCAGTCATTTCCGTCTTCCTTAATTGGGAGAGTCAGAATCAGTCTCTCTTTGTTTGGGGGGGGAGCGGAGCAGTCAATGAAGGAACCTTTGCTTTGAAAATGATTGTTCTAAAATGGTTATTCCTCACAATTTCTCCTTGTGATGCAGCGGAACCATGGCAATTAGGATCTCAAGACGCAGCTACACCTATAATGCAAGGAATAATAGACTTACATCACGATATCTTTTTCTTCCTCATTCTGATTTTGGTTTTCGTATTATGGATCTTGGTTCGCGCTTTATGGCATTTCCACTATAAAAAAAATCCAATCCCGCAAAGGATTGTTCATGGAACTACTATCGAGATTCTTCGGACCATCTTTCCTAGTNCTCAAAACCAGTCTCTCTTTCGAAGCATCTTCATGCTACTTTGATCAATAACCTGGATACCATAGATGAAAGAAAGTCCTGCTAGAACGAAGTGTACGTCGCCAAGACTTGGCGATTTCTTTGTTTTCTTGAGGAAGAGTGAGAGTTTTGAACAGAACCCTTTTCGCGACAGCTTTCGTTTGCTATACTAACAGCCAACAGCTAGCTCAAATAATCAAAGTGGGTCTGTTTGAGAAATTGTTAGGTTAGTTTTGGAAGGTTTTGTTCTTGTTGGATTAACATGTGAAATGATTTGGCAACCACAATGCGGTGGTTGGAGAGGTCACTAATTTTCAGTTGTAATAATAATAATATCTCTTTGAGGTTTGAAAAATGACAATTACATTATATGATGTTTCATGTTAAGGATTTAAATTAAACCTAATTCCCCTTTTTACAACTATATTTTGTGGCAAAATTGCAAAAATCAATCACCTATAAAGATTTTTGGTAAATTTATTCATAGGATTTAATAAAAATAACCATTTTTAATGATTTTTTAATAATTTCCTTCTCCCATCTTTTGGGCTAAAAGATGTTCTACAAATGCTAGATGATGTTGAAAAAATGCATTAAATTCTTACACCTTTACCTAAAGATAATTATAAAGATTAACATAAAAGTAATAATATTGCAAAAATATTAAAAAACAAAAATAAGGACATATGTTTAAATTTTTAAAAAGGCAAAAATAGGGCAGTTAACTAATGCTTTTGTATGGTTTTAAAAAGGCATCTATATATATATATACACACACACACACGTGTGCGTGTGTGTGAGATTTATTTAGGCTCATCCCTATATATAATAAACATGTCAAATTCTACGTTAAAAAAAGTTTAATAGTTTTCATAAAAAAACACTTAATCAGTGTATTATCTTATATAAATAATTAAATAATTAAATATAAAATCTCAAAATTATTAAAAAAAGAAATTATATTCATTATATAATTTAAAAACTAAAAATAAGGAAATTCAAATTTTAAAATTATTTTTAAATCAGGAATCAAACAGTGGTTAAATTTTTGTCCAAAAATCAACTAAAAAAGAATAATTGAAATTTACTATTAATTTATTTTCTATTTTTTTAATTTAAAAAAAATGAAATTATAATAACAATTAACAAGTCCGCTGGTTTACTTAAAAGACTTTTGAAAGCCGCCTTCTTGCCTCATTCTTCATCAATACAAACAAAAAAAACTCCCCCTTTCTCTTCAATTTCTCCTCAAATTTTCCTTCTAAAACAACCCTTTCGTCTTTCTCTTCATTGCTTTTGATTCAGATGGAAAAGTCCAGTTCTTTCAAGTATTACACGGAGCAATCCGATTTGGGATTCAATACAACCGATCGCAGATTAGCCTTTTCACGTCAAGCTTCGTATAACGAATCAACCAAGCCTTTTCTCTCGCGTACTAGTTCAAGCATCGATATCCCACCTGGGGTTTCTTATTTTAACGATAAATCGTTCGCTGAGCCCGATAAATTCTCGATTTTTCGGGCTTTGAGGTCCATGAATCGCCCAATGAAGAGATTGTTTATTTTGATTTCGTTAAACGTTGCGTATTCTACTGCTGAGTTGGCTATTGGGCTCTTCACGGGCCGTGTTGGTATGAAAACGGTTCAAATTTGGGAATGGTTATCCGGGTTGTTTGAATTTTCTTTTTTGATTTTGAATTTGTTGAAATTTTTGTGAATTTGTTTCAGGGTTGGTGTCTGATGCGTTTCATTTGACGTTTGGTTGTGGGATATTGACGTTTTCGATGTTTGCCATGGCGGCTTCGAGGCAAAAGCCTGATCTTGTGTATACTTATGGGTGAGAATTGAGATTAAACTCTGTTTTTGTATGGGAACACTTGTTATTTGAGTACTTTGTTTCGGTTTCGGTTCGGTTTCGTGTAATTCGAGCAATAATGATAATCATGTTGAATTGTAACTCAGTTTGACTCGTAATGTTTAGCATAGACTTACAGCATTGAAGTCAGACTTGTCAAAATGCAAGTAATTTGGTTATATTACTAGCTATCTGTTTTGGTGGCGTTGAACGGCGTATATTGTGGCAAAAGTCTAATAGCTTATGTGCATGATTGAGCTGTAATTGTTGCATTTGTTTTTTCATAATCAGGTACAAAAGGCTTGAAGTTTTGTCTGCTTTTACCAATGCTGTAAGTATATGGCATTTTCCACGATATTGGTGTCGCTAAATATTGTTTTTACAACAGAACTTTCATGTTCTAAATCTAAAATTTTGTGTGAATTTTTTCAACTGTGCTAATATCTTGATATTTTTTATTTTGCTGCTGGTTTAGACAGCTGTTCCTTTTGTTCATGTCATTCTCCTTAGCTGTGGAAGCACTTCATGCGTTCATTCAGGATGAATCTGAGCACAAGTAAGTTTTTTTGTGTTGAATTTGATTAACAAGATAACATTTTGAATATGTTTTGGTGACGAACACCATCTTGTGTCATGCGTATAATGCTCAAACATACTTGGTGAATGTGTAGAAGTTGATGCATTAATCGTCTACCAAGTTTTTGGATCTCTTGTCTTTATATATTCTTATCTTATTTTTGGTTCTTGCATTTTGTTTATAAAAAACTTGTTGGACAAGATTTTAACTAGAAATTATCTTCATGCAGACATTATTTGATTGTTTCTGCGGTAACAAATTTATTGGTGAATCTTATTGGGGTCTGGTTCTTCAGGAATTATGCACGTATTAATATTGGTAAGTCTTCTGATGGAGCTTGTAGTTTTCTTAAGAACTGTTCTATATTTAAGTTCTGAGTTTAGTGAGAATGCCTACATGTTATGATAATTTATCTGTATGACCCTCTAGTTGTATGTTAAGTTTACAGGGAATGACTTAGTTATGTAAAGTGTTATACTTAGCCGATGCAGAACTGGTCCACAGTGTTGGGTATTATTAACATTACAATAAAAAAAGGCGATGCTGTTTTCTCTTTTCAGTGTTGTGATATTGTTTTAGCACTCTCAGTTCAGTGTATTGGTCTTCTTAGTTTAATTACCAGTTCTTATCTGTGATGTAGTTAGAACATAATTCCTTCTTTCTTCTGTGCTGAATGGGAACAATTATGTATTAATCAGCACTCATCTGCTAATTTAATAATGCATACTGATGGAGAACCGGGGGAAGAATGGATAGAAAAGAAAGACATAGAGAAAGAGAAAGAATGGATAGAAGAAGAGGGGGAAATTTAGAAGAAAACTGGTAGAGATTCTAGGAAAACAATACTCTTCATTAATCAATCATCAAAGTCTATTTTCCATATGAAGATACAGCCTATTTATAGCCTTAAAATTCTAGTCCTAAACAAAAGCAGAAATATAATCCTATTAAAGAACATAATTCTCATTCTATGAAATTCAAAATAAAAGTCTAAACAACTTGAATACGAAATAAAACAACTCCCTAAGATTAATAAAACAAACGACCAAAAATGCAGGCCTTGGTTAATTGTTCTCAGACTTGAATGTGATTTGATGATTAATATTAAAGCTTTGTTTTTCTTGAATTTCTGCATTCAAGTGTATAAGTCCTACATCGCATATAGTTGACCTTATGTTGCTTGGTATAACTAGGTTGGGTGGCTGACTGAAAACTAATTTGGTTAGAAGTTGGAATTTACTGAGAGCAGGGTATTGAAAGTTTGTAGTAAGGGGCGGAATATTATCAAAACTCAATTAAAAACAGTTATCTTTTTAATTTCTTGATAAATGGTCAATATAATATGTTAGGATCCCACATTGAAAGGGAAAAGGGTGGACATGTGGGTTATAAAGGCTTGGGCACCCTCCCTTGGCAAGCCGGTTTTCCAAGGAGAGTTCTACCCAAGCCCATGAAAGACCCATGGCCCAACCCAAATTGTTGAGATATTGGAGTGGGTTCTATCAATTGGTATCAGAGCATGATCCTGCGCCTATGTGGCAGCACATGCGTGGCAGGCTGACCTGTGGCAGGCTGACCTTGGGCTCGGGCTACTACCCCGAGAAAGGGCATGGAGGCCTGAGGGAAAAGGGATTCGCATAGTCACCCAAGGGGTAAAGAGGCCGACGGGGGTAAAGAGGTTGACGTGGACGTCGGTTGCAGAAGCGTGGTGGAATGTTAGGATCCCACATTGAAAGGGAAAAGGGTGGGCATGTGAGTTATAAAGGCTTGGGCACTCTCCCTTGGTAAGCCGGTTTTCCAAAGAGAGTTCTATCTAAGCCCATGAAAGACCCATGACCCAGCCTAAATTGTTGAGTTATTGGAGTGGGTTCCTATCAATTGGAATGTTAGGACCCCACATTGAAAGGGAAAAGGGTGGGCATGTGGGTTATAAAGGCTTGGGCACCCTTCCTTGGCAAGCCGGTTTTCCAAGGAGAGTTCTACCCAAGCGCATGAAAGACCTATGGCCCAACCCAAATTGTTGAGTTATTGGAGTGGGTTTCTATCAATTGGTATCAAAGTATGATCTTGCATCTATGTGGCAGCACATGCGTGGTAGGCTGACCTGTGGCAGGCTGACCTGTGGCCCGGGTGCTACCTCGAGAAAGGGCATGGAGGCCCGAGGGAAAGGGGATCCGCGTAGTCACCCAAGGTGTAAAGAGGCTGACGGGAGTAAAAAGGCCGACGTGGACGTCGGTTGCGGAAGCGTGGTGGAATGCTAGGATCCCACATTGAAAGGGAAAAGGGTGGGTATGTGGGTTATAAAGGTTTGGGCACCCTCCCTTGGCAAGCCGGTTTTCCAAGGAGGGTTCTACCCAAGCGCATGAAAGACCTATGGCCCAGCCCAAATTGTTGAGTTATTGGCGTGGGTTCCTATCAATGCAAAGCCGGTTTTCTAAGGAGAGTTCTACCTAAGCCCATAAAAGACTCATGACCCAACCCAAATTGTTGAGTTATTGGAGTGGGTTTTTATCAATTGGTATCAGAGCATGATCCTGTGCTTATGTGGCAGCACACGCATGGCAGGCTGACCTTGGGCCCGGGTTGTTACCCCGAGAAAGGGCATGGAGGTCCAATAGAAAAGGGATCCGCGTAGTCATCCAAAGGGTAAAGAGGCCGACGTGGACGTCGGTTGCGGAAGCGTGGTGGAATGTTAGGATTTCACATTGAAAGGGAAAAGGGTGGGCATGTGGGTTATAAAGGCTTGGACACCATTCCTTGGTAAGCCGGTTTTCCAAAGAGAGTTCTACCCAAGCCCATAAAAGACCTATGGCCCAGCCCTAATTGTTGAGTTATTGGAGTGGATTTCTATCATAATACTTCTAATATGGCCTGTGGTTGAATTAGCTTCTATGCCATCAAGTGATTCCTTTCTAAAGCAACTGATGAAGTATATTTCGAATTGGAACTTTGTGCACTCTTAAGAGTTTAAATCAACTTGACTGCTGTTAGGCTTGAGTTTGAGTAGTGAAGCAGTTTTTATTCCTTTCCCCACCTGATTATTCTTCTGTTGTCCGTGTTTTGTTGCAGTGTACAGAAAAGCGGAAGATATGAATTACCACTCAGTTTGCTTGCATGTTCTTGCAGATTCCATACGCAGGTGTCATATTCTCTCTTTCTCTCAACATGCATAGGTTTGTTTTTGCATGTATTATCCATCTTAAGCTGGTGTACACTTTTGTTTTGCAGTGCAGGTTTGATATTAGCATCCTGGTTTTTGTCCCTCGGGTAATTCGCTACTCGTTTTTCACATTTGAATTGCTACTACACAACTTGTAATACATTTGTATGTGTGTAAAGATGATTTCTTTTTGTCTTCCTATCAACAATAAATTTCTTTTTGTGTCTTTCCAGGGTTCAGAATGCTGAAGTTTTATGTTTGGGACTAGTTTCAGTTGCTGTCTTTATGCTTGTCATGCCACTTTTTAAGACAACTGGTGGTATCTTGCTTCAGATGGCACCACCTAGCATTCCAGCGTCAGCATTAAGCAAATGCTGGAGACAGGTGATTTTTCTTTTTTCTTATACGAATGTATAAATTCTCCATCAAATGAATATTTTCTTCTGCGTTAATTATATTTTTCTGAAAACCCTCCTTTGGACAGGTTACTTCTCATGAAGATGTTTCTGAAGTTTCCGAAGCTCGTTTCTGGGAACTAGTGCCTGGTCATGTTGTTGGTTCCATCTCCCTCCAGGTACGGAACTGAAAATTTGTTTTATATGTATCAACATTGATGTGGCAAATTATTGGCCATTTTAGGATTTTCCAAATGTTTTTAGCTTTTTCAATATATAGTGGATAAGTTGTAATTTACTAGTTTTCCTTTCCGGGATGATACTAACAGGTAAAGGAGGGAACAGATGATCGCTCCATACTCCAATTTGTGCATGGTTTATACCACGATTTAGGCATACAGGATTTGACAGTTCAAACTGACTATTGATTGAGCTTCTTTTTTATTTTTCCAATTTCATGATAGTGATTGTTAGTAATAGCTTTTATATTGAGGCCAAGCATCACGGGGACAGCTCATGTGTTGTCTCGCGAACGGTTATACTACTAGAATAGGGAAATTTTTTATTCTATTTCTCATTTGGAGAAAGTTTACGAACATCATCTGCATTGTGATTAATTATTCTTTGTCGCGGAAGAAAATAATTTGACTTCGTTGGGGACTTGAGTTGTTCTTGTTGAATGTTTGTATTTATATTCGTCTGTTTTGTAGTTGTAGTTCTCAGTGACTTGTTTAATACCCTTCAATGGATTCAGGTATAAAGATTATATGATCTTAACCTCTGTTTTAAAATCCGGACTGGATCGGTCGGTCTGATCGGTTTGACTGGGAGCTGTCTTTTCCTTCTGTCCAAGTTTACATAAAATCCGGGTTTACATAAAATCGGGAATGTCAATAAACCCGTTTTGGATCGGTAATGGACCGATGGAACAGTATAAAACCGTCGAACCGATCGATCCAAGGCTTAAAGCGGTTTGTCTAATTCAAAAAAATTCTTATTCCTAAACTAATTTCAGTACCTTTTCATTATCTTTCATTTTTATCTACAACTGTAAAGAAAAAGTAAGGGGAGGGGAAGGGAAGGGAAGGGAAGGAAGAAGAAAGAGGAGGAGACACGAGACAGAGTAAGGAAGAAGATTAGAAAAAAGAAAAGAAGAGATGAAGAGAAAGAGAAGGAAGAAGAAAGTGAAGAAAAATTACAGTAGAGGAAGAAGAAAGAGAGAGAGAAGAAGAAGAAAGTGACAGTAGAGGAAGAAGAAAGAGAGAGAAGAAGTAGAGGAAGACGAAAGAGAGAAAGAGGAAGAAAGTGACAGGGAGTGATGGGGGAGAGAGAGAGAGAGAAAAAACGAAAAAGAAAGAAATTGATGGAGAGTGATGGCGTGATGGGGAGAGAGAGAAAAGTGAAAGATGGAAGTGATAGGGAGAGAGAAAATTATTAATAATAAAACTTGAGGGTATATTTACTTTATTTTAAACTCATAAGGGTTTATATGTGACTTTTAGGGATGTATTTATTAGTTTTTAAACTTATAACAATTAATAGAATTATTTAAAGATGAGACTGTTACATACCGGTCTGTTGGACTAGTCAATCCGTGAACCGGTCTTTTGACCAGGTCAACAAACAGTTCGGTTTTTAAAACAATGCCATTAACTAAACCTTGCCTGTTCAACATGAAAATTGATTTACTTCCTATACCTCTTCCCAGTACGTTTGCGTACTCGTCCTTTTTCGTTTCATTTTTCTTTTTGCAGTTGAAGAAATGTTTCAAACTGGGTATGATCATAGTATGTTTATGGCATCGATATCAAACGCTAGATTTAGAGTATGGTGTCAATATGTGATGACCTTTACCTGCCTTGTTAGATAAACAATCCTTTTGATTAGAGGGTCAATTTATGGTATTTGGTAGAAGCCCTTGGCATTTCTCAAGTAACACAATCCTTCATTCCTACTAATGAACACAATATAATGTGTCTACATCAAGTAGACAAATTATATGTGATGAACACTTGATGTGAATCTCATTTAAAAAACAAATCCATGTGAGCTAGCTGCAAAATAGACACTATTTATTTGGTTAAGTTTTCGCTGTGAATTCAAAGACAAATGCATTCAATTTAAATTTAAAATTGATAATAGTTACTCGGTTGGATTCAGACTATATGAGCTTTAGGCTGAGTTACAAACTTTATATGACCTTTAGGTTGAGTTACAAACTTAAAATATAAATAGTGAAATGAACTTTGCTTCTGTTATGAAAGCAAAAGGACTGACCATGAACAAGCAATTGATTTACATAAAAAAGAATGAGAAACTTTCTTCAACTTACTAAAGAATCTACAATCTCCAAATTACACTTCAATATTTTACAACATAAGGTACCTTAAACTAAGCTATTAATCTTCCTCTTCCAATCTTCTACCTCCCACTGAGTTGTGAAAACGGAGTAAGTTGGCTTCCTGCAAGAGAGTTATCCGATTCATTGAAAGATGGAGGCATGGCTGGCCACACGAATGAAGGTCTCTCTGTTGGGACTTCTGGGACAGCTGTCTCTCCTGAAAGAACCTTCAAAACCAATTTCATCGATGGCCTCTGGTGCAGATTCGGATGGCAACAAGCCAACCCCAGAATCAAAATACACTCCATTTCTTCCTCCGAAAACGTCCCTTCCAATCTCGGATTTGCGGCATCAAGAATCCTCCCCTTCCTGTGAAGCTCCCAGAGCCAATGCACAATGCTGTTGTTGTAACTGTTTTGTTCACTTTGATTTCCAGGCTTCCTTCCGGAAACAACTTCCAGGATCAGCACCCCAAATGCATAAACATCTGTTTCCACAGTGGCTCTCCCTGTCAGGAAAATCTCTGGCGCCATATATCCGGGAGTTCCGGCTATCTCATTCGTGGAGTGGTGGGTTTTCTGATCCTGGATCGTTCGTGCCAGCCCGAAATCCCCCAGTCTTGCTTTGAATTCTGAATCGAGCATTATGTTGCTCGCTTTGATATCTCTGTGAAGCACCCTTTTCTCACACCCATTGTGGAGATAATCCAGGGCCTGAGCGGTTCCATGGATTACGCTCACTCTTGTTTCCCAATTCAGAGTTGATTCCCCCAATCCTGTCTTCTCGTCGACGAATATGCACTTGTCTAAGCTTCCATTAGGCATGTAATCGTACACAAGAAGGAGCTCATGTCTCTCGTAACACCAACCAATAAGTTTGACGAGGTTTTTGTGCCTCAGGCTGCCAATTGTTGTGACTTCTGCAATGAATTCTTGCTTGCCTTGTCGCGACGTCTCCGAAACTCTTTTCACAGCTATCTCTCTATTCCTCCAGGTTCCCTTATAGACTGTTCCGAATCCGCCTTTTCCCAGCTTGTTTTTGGGGCTGAATCTCCCTGTTGCCTTCTTCAATTCCCTCAGTTTGAACTTCTTCGGTGCCAGGTTGAAGTCATTGATATGACTCTCCATGCGCTGTAAATCCTCAAGCTCCCGGAGTTCATGTCTCCTTCTTTTATACAAGCAAAATCCGACACCGATTAACAAAAGGAGAACCACAGCAACCACAACAACGATCCAAACCCAGAGTAGATTTCTCCTTTTATCAATATCTGAACCGTGAAATTCCCAGGATAAAACACAATTCGACTGGCTAAAATTGCTCGTTGACGCCGAGAACCCGACAAAAACCTTCTCCGGGAGATACTGAGAGAGATCAATAGGTTGAGTAAGCACTTGATTCAGCTTCATGAACTCATATCCCACAAAAGCAGTCATGTTTTTGCCATCATACTCAACACGAACAGTTATATTTTTACCCGAAGAAAGCTCGACTCTCAGAGGAACTTGATCCACAGAGAAAATACTGTTGACATTCAGTCCAATATGATTATCATCTGCATCCTGGGAAAAGCTCTTCCTGGTGTCAAACTCAACCGCAACAATCTGTGCTTCGGAGGATCCATTTGTAGTCGAATTCACAATCCCGAGCCATTGCCCTTCACTGTTCTCGGGAAGATCACTCTTTCCGGTGATTATAAATGCCAAGCCCTCACCCCCAGGATTCGACTGGTTAACGATGTTGAGTGTAAAAGTGGTGCTGAAAGTTGCAGCAGTGGTGACATTTTTGCTATTTCTTCTCCACAAAGTAAATGAATCTCTGTAGAAGGATCGTCCGGATAAATTATCCATACGCTTTCCACTAAGATCATATGTTACTTGGATGGCGTTTTTATTCACACCTGAACCAGTTATCATCGTAAGCTCGTCCATGCGTTGATAAGGGAAGTCTGGAAAATTGAAATCATGGAGATTTTTGCAGTTTACATGGGGAAAAGCAGTAATCCCCATGAAAGCTGCAAATATCAAGAACTTAAATACCAGAGAAAAGCTCATAATGAAATGAAACTATGGAGGTTGAAGATGATGGGAATGTAATGAGACATATAGATTCTAGTTAAATATATAGCTCAAATAATGTTATGTATGGAGACAATTTCCATGCATTTTCTGCTGAATATTTATTGAAAATTATTGGATGTATAAATATTTGAACACATTTTATTTATGTTTTTTGGAATTCAATTCTTTTATTTTGGTTGACTTGTATGAGGTATATGTATATATTTATAAATGATTCAATTTAAGTTTTGGAAGTAATTGAAAGTATGAGTACAGGTATGCATTCTTGTTTTAATTTTAATTTTTTTAATTTTTGGTTTGATATTCTTCCTTTTACTTGATAGATAATCTTCAATCTTCAAGCCATGCATGATTATAAATGTCAACTCTTTGTAAACAGAAGAGGTCGATTTTTTTTTTCTTTTTAACCTCATATATATATTCTAAGGTTAAAAAGAAAAAAAAAATGGACCTCTTCTGTTTACAATTATAGATCTGAATATTGAAAATAATGCAAATGTTTGTATCTAAAAATGTCGCATCTCACGTTGTTAGTAAAAGAATATTGTGTTCAGTTTATAATTATTCAATTTTCTTATGTGTTTTAGATGAAGTATACTTGTGTAACGCTAAAAAAATAGATAACATCTATCCAATTGGTCTACCCCTTAAAAAAAAATTCCGTATTGCAAATATAAATATAATTTCATAACTATTTATTATTATTATTATTTTTTGTTTTGATTATGAGATCAAGGTTTGTGATAAGACACGTGTATGTAGATTAATGTGTAGTTCTGTTTTTGTATTAGCTGCTTTAGCTCATGTCCTAATCATAGGGTAAATTTAATATGAATTAGTATTTTCTTTTTTTAATAAATTCAACGAAGAACAAGTCCACGAAGTAACATTATCTAAAGTCTTCATCTTGATTATTCAACAATCTAATTTGTCTTGCTCTTTAAATTTAAAAGCCTTGGAAAAGATCAATAAAAAATATTAGTCAATTAAAGATGATCAAACCTTCTTATGTCATCTGTTTAAACAATTTTTAAGCCGTCAGATTAAAATATTCTAGACAATCATAAATTACCTATAATACATATGTAATGTGTACAAAAAGTAGCATAATTTAAATTCAATCTCAACTATTCAAATATATATGTATGAAAATTTTCAAATGCAAACGTTTTATTAATTTAGTAAGTCCATACTATATTTTTTTGAGGTGAGAAATAATTAAAAACCAAAATTTCAGTTAAATTTCTCACATAAGAAATTCAAAGATTTTTTTTTTTTTTTTTGGTTTAATGTATTCCTCGCGTCAGGTACGAATGTAACATAAATTCTTCTCCCGCTAATTGAGCTAATTAATAAAGAAAACTTTACCGATATTGACATGTATAATTAATCTGAAATCCTGAGAAAATTTTAAAAGACAAAATAAATTAAATTTTTGTGCTAGTTTTCTCTTTGTTTCTTGTGGGTTCATATTTTTCTTTGTATATAAAGTTTCCAAATTTGTTTTTTGTTTTGATGAATAAGAACTTTCATATGTCTCTTTTTCTTTGATCAATTTCCTAGAAAGTTGAGGATATATAATATAATCACTAAGAATTTTATTTCGTTCAATAATCCAAAGAGTAGCTCTCAAGGTAGATAAAGATAAGAATAAAAAGAATAAGAAGATTAGAGAGATGAATATTAATGTGAAAGTATGCTACCAAGGATTTATTGACCTTAATTGATTCATTTGCACGATAAGTGCAAACGGCTTTTTATATGAAAAGTGTTGAATGTTGAACATATAGAAAAACCAACCTCAAGAAAATTTTGAATGAATTGGTAGAAAATTTAGGCAAAATACGTTCCAAGTCCTTGGTTTAACCGGTTAATGAAAGGTTAACATGAAAAGTGTTGAATATTGAACATAGGAATAACATAGTACATATATCCATGGTGAATTAATTTCCTTCCGTTTTTCGCAATCGAACTAAACTCATGCTGTAAATGTCTGGACATTACTATATCATTTATCATATGATCTCATTATCTATATCGATGTCATTATCCTATTAGAAAAATACATCATTTTAAATGAGACATGAGATGTTTCCATTCAACAACATGAACAACTGGAACTTTTACTCATAAGTCTACGGAAGAATAATAGACCCAATTGCTAATATGTCTCGTAGCCGGCGGCCTGACCAAATTCACAGTACTTAGTATTTTGCCGCAATTATCAGTTTAATATACAATAAATACTTGATGGTGAATGCATGCAGTAATAAATGGCGACATTCTAGCCAATTGCAACAAGACAACAAGATATAACAAAACTATGTGGAGCCTAGAATTAACTTAAGAAGCTAACACAAAGACAGTGACTATAAGTTTGATATAATCTTAAAATAGCAGAACTTTTTATTCACCATGATTAAAAAAAAAAAAAAAAATTCAATTTGAGGCAACATAATTCAGTTTGAATGTCTTGAAATTTTTAACGTGTAGATCATGAGCACGCCATTATTCTCTCTTAATTAATAGAATCAGACTAAAGAAATTTTGAATGGTTCGGTAGAGAGATTTTAACCTTGAAGGTTAGAATTCTTGGAGGTGATATTGTAGGAGCAGAAAATTTAATTAGGGAAAAATATGTTCCCAGTCACTGGTATAACCAATTAATGAGAAGGGCAAAAAAGCGATGGATATTGATTTCCTTATAATCGTCGCAGCCAATTGGAGAACTCGGACGTGAAAGCTTGGATTTGGAAAACATCATCTCATTAATTATCATATCGTCTTTGTTACTATTGTACTCCACAACTCATAATTTAGAATGAAATTTTTTGAACGGTACACGAGAAGTTTCCATCAACATGGATTACTGGCGATCGAGAATAAACCCAATTGGTTAGGTGTCGTCTTAGTATTTGCCCTAATAATACATCTTCTACATACAAGAAATACTTGATGGTGCGGAGATGGCAAGTAGACTGAATCTGGGTTGACGAAGAAAAATAACGATTGGCTATTTATATCAAGTCAATTTTAAGAAGTTAATAGTAATACAATGACAGGGGCGATGATTTTGATATATTTGATAAATTATTCCTTTTCCTTTGAGAAGGTGGTTGCTCATTGAGTACGCTAATAAGTTAATTAATAAAATATATCTTACTTTCCAAGATTGTTCAAATTACATGCATTGAGCATAGATAGAAAATACTTCCATATTGAGATTGAAATGGAGTATATTTTAATTTGCCAATGACTAGTGACTAGTGATGAATTTGATAGTCAAACACGTCATAAGTAAAGTATAAAATAATTAAAGACAGAACACAACATTATACCCCTATTCGTTCCCTTTTTCAAGGAACTATGTCTAGCATTGAAATATATTTATTTTATTGTGAAATATCGAACACTGCAAATACAAGATGAACAGTTTCGACATCTCACTCTTTTCTCTATATTCTTTCACACACTAGGTTTTTTCACTCTTACAAAAAAACATAGTAAAAACCTAACTCCATTTGGGCTTATCCGTCTAACCCGACATAGGCCCAAATATTAGTAAACTAATTCTAAACCCAATTAGACATTGAGACCTCCCAAATGAATCACTGTAAGCTGACAATCCATCAAGGCTAAGAGAAGTACACCATATCCAACAACTAGCTAGTTTTATTTCCATGTTGAAAACTTTATAAATCATTATGATATAATCAATTAAAATTTATTCGTTATGAATTTATGACGATCCAAATACTATATATATATATATATATATTATATATATATATAAAACGGGTTCTCAGCAACTTCTAAACTCTACGTATAATGGATTGATAGCTATAAATTGGTCACAAATTAAATCAAATATTTAATTTAGTGGAGCCTAACCTATTGTTGATATGAAAATTCGTACCAACCAGAGAGATCCGATTGACCCTGGTGGAATCGGAACGGATGTGGGTGTGATTACGGATAATCAACAGTGGATGAATGATAAATGCAATACAGTAAAAGACAATAAGATTTTTAAAGTGGTTCAACGAGGCAACCTCTTATGCCTATGTCCACTGTTCTTGTATTAGCTGTGAGAGCTTACAATAAGTGTTCTATGGAGAATTTCTAACCCCTTTTTCATCATTTGAGGGAGTTTATATACAAGGTTTGTTCAAAGAAAAGAGCGAAAATAAAGGGATTACAATTGATCTGAACTGCAATTTCGATATTCTCGCGATTTAGGCTCTGTGATTGCGCAGAAATTGTTGTTAATCTGGTCATTCCCGTAATATATGGGATCTGAAGTTATCTGGGAATTGATTGAATGACCATTCGAGTTGTTCACGACTAGCTTATGCTGGGTTGAGCTATATGTCGACGAGCTTATGCTGGGTCAGACAACCGATATAGTCGGACTGATTTTAAGTGAATCTAATACCTCGCAATTCACCGAGCTTGATGAAAAAATCACACACAACATCTGCCCTCTAGTGTTTGATGCTCGTTTCAAGCTTCGAAGACTATTGCTCGATTTGACATCAAGCTTGGCACTGCCAGCAGGTCACCGGATGTAGGTTCGGTCGAGCTTCAAGGGTCGACCTCACACCCGGTTGACGTAATTCATACTTGGACTTTCATTTCCTGTGATACCTGACAAAACTCAAAAAATGAAAAGTTAGGGCAAATATGTAATTTCCATGTAGTCATGTCACATTAGATGCGTCAACCTTTATTAGCCATGTTTCGTCGCGCGTGGGCGACTATAATTGTCCACGCACGAAGTCGAGGCAACATGCCATGACGATTACCATTGTAACAGTCTGACGGTTCATCACCCCTCGGGGATGGATGACAGGTGGCCACGTCTAAGGGCTGAGATTGCTTCACAAATAAAGGGTCGAGATTCATTGTAGATTGACGGCTACGATTAAACCCTGCCCTTTCATCTCCCATGCAAACCACTATAAAAGGTGGCGAAGTTGTTAGAATACTCATTCA